AATCCAAATCAACTTGACCTGAGTCTAGACCAGCTTAACTTGGTCTAAATATGAATAGGCACGATCACCTTGGTTCGGTTCATTTGGGTCAGTAATCCCAACTTGAACCCGACCTAACCTAGGATAGGTCGATCCTGGTCGACTCGAATCCAAAACGGGTCTGAGCGCAATGGTTCGGCCTAACCCAAAATCCACCATGCTTGCTTTGCCCGGTTTGGATCATCCAGGCCGTATCCACATAGCTCGGCTCGAATCAGGACCGACCCCAATTTACTTCTCTTGACCCGCTTCAGGCCAGTCGGTTCGGTCCCAAATCCGTGCACAAACCTAATATGGGCTGGTCCAAGTCAATCCGCCATTGACTACCGGTTCGGTATGGTCCGACCGGACTGATCCATATCTAAACGGTTCAACCACCCTTGATGTGATTAGCTTGAAGACAATCCAATTAGATAGTTCAAGTTGGTCTGGTTTGAATTAAGTGGTTCGGTCAAACTCAAAACCTGAACATAGTCAAATGGCTTCGCCGATTGTGTAAAAGTAACATGCATGTAATGTGATTTGAACCTTCACCACTTGTGTAAATAGCAACTACTACTACCACCAAGCTATAACCAACTTATTTGTCAAGAGAGAGTTAGTTTTTTGTTTTAAGTACATAAACATAAGATTAATGGGTTTGGGCGGGTTGGATTGGTTTAAGGCGGGTTTGGGTTTAACCCAACCCATTTAATTTTATATAACTAGATCATTAATTAATGGGTTGGCGGGTTAGATGGGTTAGGTTGAAGCTCAACCCAAACCAAACCCAACCCAACCTGCCCAATTGCCACCACTATTTTTTGCCAATAACCCTTTATGCCTAAACCAATCCAAATACAAGAGGGGTTAGCCTTCAATAGATCCACCTATACACAAAAAAATTATGAGAATTTTAGACTAAGAAATATGAGACTTTTCCCACTTTTCCATATTAAAAAATTATATTTAAAATATAAAATATTAACATATATCTATGGTCAGGTCGGTTTACAAATGGCCAAATCGAAACTGATCACCTAACTTGGTCGAGTTGGAAAATTGCTAAACCAAAGCTGATCAGAAATACTAGAAGACCAACCAACTTGGGTCAAGTTCAATCAGATTGGTTATTAAAATGTTAAAATATAAAACATTTATATACTCCTATTTATTTCTATTATTTAACTTTTGTTTAACAAAACCCGTGACAAAGCCCGTACATCACACAGGTCCCTGCTAAGATATATATATATATATATATATATATATATATATATAAGAGAGAGAGAGAGAGAGAAAGAATCACTTGTTAAATCAAGTAGGGAGCCTCTACACACACCCACACTAAAATTTGCCACAATTTCAAACCCATAGTCCATATCAACTATATACCTCACTTAAGTTGTTTGGTAACATTGTCGGTTCCACCTTTGATCAATACAGGGAGGAACTAGAATTTTTTTGAGGGGGGCAAAAAAGTAATTATAAACATGGATAAGGTGGCTAAAAATAAATTAATAAATATAAGTAGGAGGACCAAAATATAGATAAGATTCCAATGAGTATTATAGGGATTTTCAAGGCATAGGAGGGGGGGAGGGGTCATGGCCCCCTCTGCCACCCCTGAATCAATAAAATTTTTTTGAGAAAATATTTTTGTAATATCACATAAGATGGTCACTTCAATCAGAAAAATGGATCCATGGGATTGATCATTGGTTATAGATAAAATATCAAATTTGAGTTTCAGGTATAAATAGTAATTTGTATTTGTCAGCTCAAAAAGTTTTTAATAGGAAAAAAAATCTTATTACACATTTTTATTGTTCACTCCAAAAGTACAGTTGGGGTGGGTACCAGTTCGGAATTGATGTCATTTCATTAGCGCAATGTGTAGAGTGGGGTTTTTTACTTTTTGAATATTTATAGCTCTGCAGTGGAAATCAGAAATCTGCATTGGGCCTGTCTGTATTTCTCTGAAAATATAAATGAAAGGGTAATATATATATATATGTTGAAAGTATCAACACGTATCAGTTCCGGCTCATATCGAACGAAATGTATCGTTCTGGGACCCCTCTGATACACCCATACACCCCTACAGTGGGTGTATCAGGGGTTTGATCAGTTCATGGGGTAGAGGAGCCCTAAAACGGCCCCTCTGAACCAGTTGCAAAAAATAAAAACAAAAAAAAGGCATCAAAAGCTGTATCGATACTCCCATACCAACATATTGGACGTATCAATATTTTGAACCTTGACATATATACCCCACTCAGTTTGAGACAGAGACAGGGGGATCCGGGGGAGCCATGGTCCCTCTCCCTATGTCCAAGAAATCATGTGTCATGCACAAGAAGCTGAAAAATAGCCCAAACTGTTTTTCTCCAAACAGCTAAAGTTTTTGCTCATGATTGGCTCAGTATTGCAATTAGAACAGTAGAGAGTTCAAAGTCATTGACAGTAGATATTCCCCATGTGCGGCTGTAATGTCTTATGGGTAGGGTGTAGAAAACAGATGGATCCAAACTCTTATAAACACTATAATCCGAAGCTAAAACACTATAAGCCGAAAGCACAAAGCCTAATTAAAACGTGGTTTTGGTCCTTAGCCTAGCCCAACCTTAATTCTCTAGCCTCATGAGGATACGAAGATTTTCATCAGAATTGACAAATCTCTACTTCCTTATAATTCCAAAGACTTCTCCTAAGAGGGTTTTAGCAATCATCTAGCCTTGTCACCTCCATTCAAAAATTCTGTCAAACCCCCTCTAGGGCATCACACGATGAGACATTTGAAAAATGCTTCCCTCGTTTTAATAGCATATATATCGGCCATCTCTAAGGCATCTGTTTCTGTTCTCTTTCCATTAATAATCCACATAAAAAACAACAGTTAAGTGTTTGACAGTATTCCTCATACAAAAATGATGAGAATAAGAAATGGGAAAATTCCCAATTAGTATTCTATACTTTGGGTCTAGTGATATTTTGGTCTCCAAATTTTAAAATGCGATAATTCAATACCCAAACTTTTAAAACATAACAATCCATTACCTGTTGTTAACTAGTTGTTAACCAACTGTTAAGTGGCATTTGAAAAAGACACAAATGCCCTTCGCGTGTCATTTAATTTTCTTTAACAACCATCCAAACACTGACAAAAAATTAAGTCTCAAATCCTATTCAAGAAAGTTGGGGTCACGGGAATGCCCACTCAAACGTTGACCCAAACTTTCTTGAATGGAAAAGGCAAAGATTTGGGGCTGTTATTTTTTTGTCAATGTTTAGATAATTGATAAAGAAAATTAGATGACACTCGAAGGGCATTTGTGTCTTTTTCAAATGCCACTTAATGGTTGGTTAACAGCTAGTTAATGGCAGATACTAGATTGTCACATTTTGAGGGTTTGGGGACCAAAGTGGCACTAGGCCCAAAGTACAAAGTATTAATCAGGGATTTTCCCATAAGAAATGACCATATGATAGCACTCTAATAATGATATAGGCGCCCCACGTACCTATTGAGCTCTTATTGGCATATATATATATATATATATACAACTTTTAACTACTTATTTCTCGAGCCAATTAGAGATTTAGAGCTAGTGCTCGAACTTGTGCTTGCCACTTCCTTCAACCATAATCTATAATATGTTTTCTTTAACCAAGTAAATCCTTATTTTAAGTGCACTTTCAAGTATATTAAGCTACCATTTGGAGGCCTCAATTTAATAATGCAGCTCTAAAATTTGCCACAATCTCATTAGAAAGAGAGTATGAACTCTCTTGCTAGCCATGTGCATTCTTTCTGCTCGATCCGCCTTTAGAAAGTTCAATTCTAATGTATTAGAAAGTTCTCTCTCAGTGTGTGTGTGAATGCGCTGGAGATGGCAGCAAGTATACGTAGTTATCCATCCAAAGAAACCTGCTTCTTAGGGTAAGTTTTTCTTGCATTTGCTTTCCATTTCAATTACAAATTGGTTCTCTTTTTCTTCTTGGCGTAAGTTTTCCTTTCTTTCTCTTCCTTTTTCAATTACAAATTGGTCATCTTTTTGTCAAACCATGCTTTCAGCGTGAATTTTGTATCCCTGAGCAGCTATGCTTCCTTTCAAGGGAGGATATATATATGATGATGGCCATCGACTGTCCTCCACTATGTTTTGTTCAGTCGTACATTTCCATTTTATGTAATTCAATTTCCTTAGACCCATGATTCCACAGTAAAAGTGAAACAAAATCACTGTTCATCCTTCAGCCCCAGATTGTACTTCGTTTGCACTTCTCCCTAACGTACTTGTTCCAAATCAATGACTGAGACCCAGGAACTTAGAACTTTGAGTCTAACTTAGGGAATGTAGGAATTGTACTAAATTTTTGTACAGGTCTCGTCCAGGATAAGGGAGTGTACTGCAAAATACTGTTTAAACACTGTTTGGAGTTTCAAATTGTCAATTTTTAACATTAACACTACTGTTTGTTTGATGCTTGCCAAAAAACAGAAGCAAGAATGAATTATCAAACCTTCTCGTACATTGTCCTTCCATTAAAGAAAATCTAAAGCTCTCCAGGTCTTCCCCATTGAAAACCATATTTAACAACTTTAAGTGATATCTTGGTTGAACATAGACTAATAATTCAACTGATCATGAAGATATTCAGGCCAATAGGCTTTAGACCACCGCCCCATTATAAAAGTTTAAATTAAATTATCCATGGTAGTGGGGAGGGCCTACTTAGTGTAAAGAATATAGCTTACTGTATGCTTCATCTGCAGTATTTAATACCTATCTTACATGGGAAAATCATCAGAGGGGGAATATAGAGAGTCTCATTAGCCACTCAGCATCTTAATTAATTTGTCACGTAAGGTGAGTAAAGTTTATATCTGTTAGTACTTTTTTTCTTTCTTCTCTCCATTTTAACTTGTTAATATATAAGGATTAAGCCCAAGAAAAACCTTCTGACTTCAGTGAAGTTTTTGAAAGAGTCGGAGATTGGAGAAGATGGGCTCCTACAAAGCTCGAGAGCACTTGAACAAGGAGAAACTGTGTTCATCTTCATGTGATCATCATCCTCTGGAGACCCCAAAAAGCCCCTATCAAGCCATGGAGTTCTTATCGCGTTCATGGAGCCAGTCTGCCACGGACTTCTTCAACATCTTATCATCCAAAGTGAGAAATTAATAGTCCTTTAAACTTATTCTATAGGTCTTCACGATTTACAGTGTCACATGCATGTATTCATTTTCATGGTGAAACACTGTAGCATTTCATCTTTTTCTAAGACTGGAAAGCAAGCTGCAAGCGCTAGCTGAAGTGTCAACTACCTTGAATGATGATTGTGAGTCGGCATCTGTTCGCAGCAGTTGTGAACTCGATTATATTGCATGTATCTACAGTTCCCTGTGCCATGCATTGGTTGAACTGCTGAACTGAACCATGGCTGCACCCATGTTTATATCCTTAGTACATTAATATTGTTGATCGCGAACTACAATTATTTAATATTATAGATTAAAGCCTTAGAAGGAAGTTTATATTCTTCATGTCAATTTGCAGAACTTATTGCTAGATACAGATGAAAGGCTAGATACAGGAGTAGAAAGTAACTCAAGTCAAGGCAGCAGAGATAGCATATGGGTAAGGAATTGAAGGATTCTCTCTCTCTCTCTCTCTCTCTCTTAGGCATAGACACAAGTTATTGGTATATACATGACTCAGACTCGATCATCAACTACTACTCTGCCAGGATAGCCAGCTGAGTCGGACTCAGTGATGAATGATGATGAGTTCACAAACTAGAATAAAAGTTAGTTGTTCAGCTATATATACCTTCTAACTAAACCTGAAGCTTTGATCCGCTAACTCCCAACTAAACCTCAAGTCAATGAGTTGGTTCCATCAAAGCTTTATTGTGATATGGTATCTGATTTTCTGTGTTGGTATCTGTGGATAGAAATGGCTTGCAGCTGGAAAGTCCGTGAGAAGGGTCCTTCAAAGGCAAAGATCAGTCAAGAATAGTTTGGTAATAAGCAGGATAACCATTGCTATAGCTATACTATAGTTAAGTTTTCTCTCCTTTGAAATTGGTTCCTGTCTCTCTATTCTAATTACAAAGATGAACATAAAACTCATGAAGGGATGGTTGGTGGAACGACCATTGTCTAGCTTCTCCAGAAGGTATAGAACAGAGAAAAAGAAGGAAGAATTCCGACTGCAGACAGCCAAAGTCCATGCAGCCCTTTCAGTTGCAGAGTTGGCTGCAGTGGTTGCTGGCTTCACAGCAGGCGGAGGCTTTGAACAGCTAGACATCGATGACTTTTCTAGCAAAGGTAGAATACGGGACAAGAAGATGGGTATGGCTATTGCTTCAGCTGCGACCTTGGTGGCAACAGTGTGCGCCGAGGCTGCGGAGTCTGCAGGCGCGCATAAAGCCCACATTGAATCTGTCGTCAACTCTGCTCTCACTGCTCGGACTCCGTCTGACATCATCACACTCACAGCCACTGCCGCAACATGTAAGCCCACTTCAACCATTTTTCTCCTTAGGCTGTGTTTGGTTGCAATGCAAATAAATTTGCACTTATGCAAAACCATGACAGTGCAAATCATTTGAGTGTAAATTCTGGCCTATTTTTGTTTCAAATTTTAGCTTATTCTGTTTGATTGCAGTACAAATGAAGTAAATTAAGACATGAAACAAAATATAATAAAATCTAAAAAAAATAAATAAGAATTTACATTTTTTACATTTGTACTAGTGCAAATTCCAAATATAGCCTTAGGCTCAGTTTGGAAGGAGTACAAACACAAATATGTAGAGTGCAAAACCTTGTATTTTGTATGTATTTGCACTCTATATATTTGTATTTATTTAAGTCTCAGTTTGAAAAGAATATATATACAAATATAGAGTACAAAACTTGGTCTTTTGTATTATTTGTATATATTTATACTGTACATATTTGTATTTATAGTCTTTAAGCTCAGTTTGGAAGGAGTGCGTATTTGCACTGTACATATTTTGTATTTGTATCTATACAAATACAAATTTGTACGTCTCATTTTACTGAACAATTAATATCTTGATCACTATTGAAGCAAAGAGCTTACTGCAGTTATTAAGAGCTTGCTTTGTATAGTTGTTTCTGAACTGTAACGTAACCTACTGATTTTACAAGGTCTAAGAGGAACTGCGACACTGAAATCGAGATCTGTAACTAGTACATGCTTCTCAAATTACAAGGAAATGCTTGCCAAAGGCGCCCAATTATCAGTATGTACATTCTCTGGTGAGGAAGAAACTCTGACTTGAGAACTTCAGCAAAAGAGAGAGAGAGAAAGAGAGAGAGAGAGAGAAAGAGAGAGCAATATATAGTTGATAATACAATATTTTGTATTCACTTAATGCAGGTCAAAAAAAACTCAGAAGTGTCTGCATTTGCATCAAGCACAAAAGGCTCATACTGAGATTGGAGAAGAGATACCTAAAGGGAGTCTTGACAATTTTTAAACAGTGTAAGACCCATTTTTCTGTTGATCGTCTCTTAATTTAAACTACCTGAAGATAAGTTGCAGAACTTCAAATCCCATTGACTTGCTATATTTTCTCAGATAAGATTATGAATGTGATCAAAGCAAACAAGAAAGCTCATGGTGTTTACTCATTATGCCTCAGTACCAGTGGAGGCAATTTCGAGCTGCTGTTTGAAGATGAAGAGCAATATGATGTCTGGAGATCAACTACCTCGCGCCTCTTGCTAAACCAACAATCTTATTCAACCACAAGCTCTCCAAAACATGAAATCCTTTGAAGTATATCCAGAGTTCATCATTTTCAATTCACTGTTACATAAATAAACATCAGATTAGCTTGATTTGTCTGGAAATTGTGTACATCATTTTGTGAAATAATTGCATTGAAATAAATGGAATGGGCAAGAAAACCGCATTTGGCAGTCTTGTTTCTCAAAAAAAAAAAAAACATTTTTGTAATGATTAGCTTTGGAATTTAGGCTTAGTTTAGAAGGAGTACAAACACAAATATGTACAGTACAAATACATACAAAATACATAATTTTGCACTCTACATATTTGTATTTGTACTCCTTCCAAACTGAGTCTTAGGAAAGGATGTATTTCTTGAAACTTCGAAATTGACATTTCTTAAATCGCCTTGGTGATCTTGAGTCACCCTGGTGACATGTATCGCAATTTGGAGAGAGAGATAATTCCCTTTCATTGATTTGGAAAATATTACAAAGAAATATATATATAGCAAATGAAGAAGCAAAAGAAGAAAAAAAAAAGGAAAACTAATAAATTGTAAATTACAAGTTTAGTCTTCTAATAGCCCCCCTCAAGCTGGAGCAAACAAGTTTTGAATGCCCAGCTTGCAGATTGAGCTATTGAACGAGTGAGGTGGCAAGGGCTTGGTGAAGCAGTCAGCTAATTGGTCTTCAGAAGTTACTGGCATCGAGTGGATCAAACCGGCTTGCAATTTTTCCCTTACAATGTGGCAATCTATGTCAATATGTTTTGTATGCTCATGAAAAATTGGATTACGAGCAATGTGAATAGTTGATCGATTGTCACAAAAAACAAGAGTAAGAGCAACTTGAGGGATCTACAAATCTTTTAATAAATAAGTAAGCCATTGAACTTCACATGTAACAGCAACAAGGGAACGATACTCAACTTCAGAGGAAGATTTGGAAACAATTTGTTGCTTCTTGGATTTCCAAGATATTAGACTATCTCCCAAAAAAACATAATGGCCAGTGATAGATCTCCTGGTATCAAGGCACGAAGCCCAATCTGAATCTGAGAAGGCTTTCAACTATAGAGATGATGAAGCAAAGAAGAACACTCCTTGGCCAGGACTAGCTTTTAAGTATCAAAGAATTCTATGTACGGCTTACATATGAAGGTTTGTAGGGAAGTCCAAAAACTGAGAAAGATGTTTGACAGCAAAACAAATGTCTGGCCTTGTGCTATAAATAAATTAATTTGCCAACCAATTTTCTGTAGGAAGTAACATATGTTAGAGGAGCACCAGCATCTTTATCAAGTCTTTGAGAGGTAATCATAGGAGTAGATACTGACTTGTTGTTTATAAAACTTGTTTCCTCCAAGAGATCAATCACATACTTCCTTTGGCTGAGATTAATGCCAGCCATGGATCTAGCAACCTCTAGGCCAAGAAAGAACTTGAGTTGGACGATATCTTTAATTTTGAAAGCATCATGTAAGAACTTTTTGACCTCATTTATCAATTCAATGCTGTCACTTGCCAAAATGACATCATCAACATAAATTAGCAAGGCTATAAAATGAGAACCAGCTTGTCTTGTGAACAGAGAAGTATCAGAAATTGCTTGAGTGAATCCTTGAGACAATAAGGCATCAGTGAGTTTTTTATTCCATTGTCTACTTGCCTGCTTGAGACCATAGAGTGACTTAGTTAATCTGCATACTTTTGAAGGATCAGAAGTTTCAAAACCTGGGGGAAGAGTCATGTAAACTTCTTCATGTAAGTCACCATGCAAAAAGACATTGCTAATATCCAGTTGTTGCAAATGCCAATCTTTAATAATTGCAACAGGAAGTAAACATCTAATAGTTGTTATTTTTGCAACTGGAGAAAAAGTAACAAGATAATCAATGCCATTCTGTTGAGTATAGCCCTTGGCAACTAATCTTGCCTTATATCTTTCAATGCTGTCATTTGCATGATACTTGGTTTTAAAAACTCATTTGCACCCTATAGGTTGTTTTCCTACAGGTAAATCGGTTAAAACCCAAGTATTATTTTGCTCCAATGCTTTGATCTCAAGTGCCATTGCATCCTTCCAGCATTGTGATTTTATAGCCTCATTATAGGTTCTAGGATCTTTGGTTTGGGAGATTTGAGTGGCAAAGATCCTATGAAAAGACGATAATTTGTGAGTGGAATAGGTAGAAGATATGGGGTGAGGATTGGAGGTTTTGAAAACAGAATTGGCTTTTAGATTTGGTATTTGGCAGTGATATTGGTCAAGATATGAAGGAAGTGTATGAGATCTAGATGATCTTCTAGGTTGGGTTTCAGAATGTGTACTTTGTATGGGATCTAGCGAAACATTAGTAGAAGGGGTTGGATCAATAGTGGTATTATCTGAAGTGGTAAGTGGTGGTGATTGATTAGTAGATGAAGATGTGAAAGAAGGTGGAGAGGGTTCTGCTAAAGAAACTGCATATTCTGTGGGAAGAATGAAGTTTGAATTATCTATTGAGAAAGAATTAGAATGAAAAGGAAATGAGTGTTCATAGAAATGAACATCTCTTGAAACAATGACCTTTTTAGTTCTGAAATTATACAAACGAAAACCTTTAGTGGCAGAAAGATAGCCAAGAAATACACAATGATCGGCTCTAGTATCAAACTTAGTTCTACCTGTATCAAGTGTAGAAGCAAAGCAAAGGCATTCGAAAACTTTCAAATTATCAAATGAAGGAGCAGCATGATAAAGAAGCTGAAATGGAGTTTTGTTTGAAATGATTGGGAAAGGAGTTCTATTTATTAGATAGACTGCATGAGAAATACAGTCAGACCAGAAGGAAATGGGAAGTTGTGATTGAAACTTGAGAGCTCTGGCAACATTCAAAATATGTTGGTGTTTTCTCTCAACAATAGAATTTTGTTGACGAGTACACACACATGTAGCTTGATGAACAATACCTCTTGAAGCATAAAAATCAGGCATGTTAAATTCCAAAGCATTATTAGATCTAATACACTTTACTTTTGCAGAAAACTGAGTTTCAATCATAAAACAAAAGTTTTGAATATGTTGTCTAGCTTCAGATTTAGTTTTCATAAGGTATATCCATGTAAATCTACTATTGTCATCAACTATTGTCAAAAAATATTTATGTCCATAAAATGAAGGAGTAGAAAAAGGACCCCATGTATCAATGTGAATCAAATCAAAATAGTTGGCAGAAGTAGATTGGCTAATGGGGAATGAAAGTTTTCTTTGTTTGGCATAATGACATATATAACAGTAATTTGAAGATGGTAGTGTTATAGAATGATCCAATGCTCTCAAAAGTTTCAATCGAGGATTGGACAAATGCCCCATCCTAAAATGCCATATATCAGTTGCATTAGGCTTATTACAAAAAGGAATAGAAACAAAATTACAAATAATGAAGAATTACAAGAAACAGATGGTAGGATAAGCTTGTAGAGGCCATTGACCTTCTTAGCTAATCCAATCATCTTCTAGCATTGATGATCCTGGAGGATACAAATATTGTGTTGAAAAATGAGACAATAAGAATATGAATCATTAAGCTTGCTAATAGATATAAGATTGAAAGAGAAATGAGGTATATAAAAAACATTAGAAGTACAAAATTGGAAGAGAATATAACAGTTCCTAATGCAGAACCAGGAGCAAGGTTGACTTGTTGAAGCAGACTCATGAGCTGATTGTATTGGTCTTGAGTAATTGGAGAGGTTGCCACATTATTGGCTGAAGTGAATTCATTATGAACTCTAGATGCAGAATTAGGAATTAAAGAATCTGCAACATCTGTGCCTTCGTCTGCTAATTCACTGTTATAAGAATCTTGATTGGCATGCGCAGTCTTTTAACCAAATCTGCCTTTCCCTCCTCTATAGCCAACTAGATATCCATGCTTTTTATAGCAAGTTTCAACTGCATGTCCTGGAGTGTTACAATAGCTACAGATTGGCTTGGATCCTGTATTAGCATAGTGGTTCCTGAACCAAAGTTAGAGGAGGAAAATGATTTCTGAGATTGTTGTGAATTCTATGGAACAAATGGTCTTCGATTGTAATTAGATCATTGTCCTTGGGTTAAGAACACAGAGGCTAGTTCCTCAAGCTTAATCACAGGATGATTGAGCTGTCTTTCATGTTGAAGCACCAAAGAAAACAATTTGTTAATGTTGGGCAAATGATCCATCAAGAAGATTTGTGACCTTACTGTTGCGAAATTATCATTGAGGCCTTTCAAGAATCTGATAGAATAATCATTCTGATAAGATTTCTTAACATCTTTGAGTGCTTGACAAGAACATTGGGGCTCACAAGTGCAAACTGGAACAGGTCTAAGAGTAACATATTCTCATCCCACAAAATTTTTAATTGTGTGTGATAATCAGTGACAAAAAGTGAGTTTTGTCGAAAGTTATAAATCTCTTCTTGCAGTTCTGAGATTCTTATAGCATATCCTTGAGAAAATCTATCATACAAGTCCTTCCAAATGTCCACAACATTGTCTAACCACAAAATACTTTTAGCAATTGAAGGTGATAAGGAACGAACTAACCATGAATATACCATTGTGTTGCATCTTTGCCAGGCTGGATAAGTAGGATCATCCTTCGAAGGACTTAGTATGTTTTCATCAACAAAACCAAGCTTATTCTTTGAGAGTAAATTCATTCGCATGGATCTGAACCATGAATGAAAGTTAGGCCCTGATAAAACTGGTGAAACTAACACCAGAGATGGATTCTCATTCTGATGAAGGTAGAACGGATTTGATGGTGTATCTTCAGGCCTTGTTGTAATTGCAACTTGTTGTTGCACAATATATCCTTCACCCCCCCCCCTAAAAAAACCAAAAAACTTAAAAGTCCCACTAAAATGTCAAGGATCACGATATTACACTCCTCCAACTCTAAAATTATAAATTTTTGTTTATTTTTCTTAAAAAGGAATTGTAATAGATCCAAACCATCCCATTTCTCTCCAAACCCTACCTCATCTACTCCCTATCTTATTTTCTTATTTAACTTCCCCCCACCCCCACCCCCCCAAAAAAAAAGAAAAAAAATCCTAGCTCCACCACTTTGAAGGTGGCTCTTTTTGTTGGAATCATCCTAAACTAGGATTTTTTTTTAAATTAATACTAATGGTAGTTTCTTAAAAACTGG